AGGCTAACTGACTAACCTAAGTGCTAGTCACACATTGATATGGTTAAAATCTAAGAGACTAACCTAAGTGCTAGTCACATAGGGCTTAGGCTTAGGCTATTTGTTATCTTAAGAAATGCTCAATTTTCGCCCAATTTTCTAAATCCTACTAGGGCTGCTAAATTTTGACAATTAATTAACTATCTCTATATCCTAGTGTTTTGTATGAATGCTAGTCAAAAGCGAAACAATATGGACAAAATTGAGAGTCCTTATGACTCATAGGACATAGTTATGCTCAAGACACAGACTTAGTACATCCTCACTAATCAAACAACAGTCCCTCTTACTAACACATGCCACAGAAAAAAATCCCTCAAACAATGGCACTGAGTTCTTGCAAACCCGTCGAGTTTCTAAAGGTTAAAAAACTGAACAGGCGCTCAAAGGAAATGTAAAGTCTGGCCGCGGCGTCAACCAGTACAAGCAGTATAAAAAACTCTTGAAACCAATATGATAGTCCAGACCAGACCAAACGGCTTTAACCCCCTCGGGCTTGTCGGGTAGGGTAGTTTTTTTTTTCAGGAAATATTTTTCGTGCGGTTAATTAATTTAGAATATTTTGAATCCGGGTCTATTTCTGATTAGGAAAAAAAATGTATTTAATTAAAATATGAGCAGCTATGAGTAGGAAATTAAATTTGCAATATATAATCAAATACGGAAAATAAGACGGCAGTGCAATGTATGTAATACTTGACGGCAGTTTAATGTATGTAATAGGCTTTGTTATTAGCTCACATAAAAGATCACACATAAAAAGGGTCACACATGAACAGATCCATAGATTGTCGGCAACAAATCTATCCACAAAGGGTCACCCATGAAAAGATTCTTACATTGTCTATGAAAACTATCCAAAAAGGAACACCCATAAAAAGATTCTTATATATTATGTTACATTTATATCCAGAAAGGATCCTCCAGACAGATTCCTCGATCTCTTGTTGAAAATTCTTTAAAACGTTTCACCGCCTCTTCTCTCTCTTGTAAGATACTTGCTGAGATTTGTCTCGTGTAAGACACTTGCTGCGATCTTCGGGCCACTTATAAGGTGCCAAGAAGGCTTATCAGATCTGCGAAGCTGGATAACATACGAACGATTTGTTGACGTGGATTTCCTTTGATAACAAAAGTTCTTAACATTTTGCTAAGAGGAGTGAAACATATTTTTTGTGAGCTTAGTGGGTGTGGGGTGGGGTGTGAGGTGAGGTGAGATGTGCGGGTGGGGGTTGGGGTAGGGGCAGTGTCTGAAACGATACAAGAAAGTCCGGATTAACATTTGCACTCTAATGAAGTCCATATTTGGAACCCTAATTAGGGGAATTCTGGGGAAATGAGAGACTTTGTTAATAACTACGAACCGGTCTTGTGGACATTGTATCCGTTACACTTGGGACAATGCTGGGGACTTTAGTGGGGACAAAACTGGAGAACATACGAGAAGACAGATGGGAACAGTGTGGTATAGTTCTAACTAATTAGAACCTCTTTACAGATATTTAAAACTAGTGGTTCTTAGACTGACCAAAATTCTAACAGAATATAAACACACACACACACATATATTTAAACATTCTAACTCAACATGTATAACATCCAAACACAAACACATTTAAACATCCAAACACAAACACAAACACATTTAAACATCTTAACATAAACACATTTGAACATCCAAACACAAATACATTTAAATATCTAAACACACAAACACATTCAAATATCCAAACACAAACACATTCAAACATCCAAACACAAATACATTTAAAGATTCCTACACAAGAAACATATCACAAATCTACATACAATTAATATAAATTTCGTACATAAACGCACATTTTCCAGCACCTGAAAATCTAATCAAATATGTGGTTACTTGGATGTGGGAGTGATACATCTTTACGATTCGATCTGCTTTAGTAATTATTTAGTCTGTAACGTGTTCAGTAAAATGTCGCTTTCATTTGAAACTAACATCACACGGATTCTACATAACTTCGTTTGTTACATCGCGCTCAAAATGTATCCTTTATTCAGATGCCAGATCTCTAGACCACTCCCCTCCACATCAACATTACCCCACCTTACACCCCTGTAATCAACCTTACCTCAGCCCTTGTAATCAACATTACACACCTCCCCATCTTATCAACATAACCCCCCCCCCCCACCCTTCTAATCAACATTATCGTTCCCCCGGTACCTGCACATATTTATTAAAATGTTGACTTCGCTTCTCCGCTGAGAAGAAAAACAAACAGAACTTTCGCGATCTGCGCCAATTATTTTTAAAATAATTTTAATACAAACGATTGAAAACAAAGAACAACACTACACATATTTCTATGAAAATCAAATCAAAGGAATAACTGTTAGAAATACTCTTATTTTTTTAAAATAGATCTATATGTATTTGCAAGAATAAAAATATGTTTTACGTTCTGAGATATAATTTCAAGATTGTTTCGTCGTTCATCAAGGTGCACAATTTTTGGTCAACTTTATCCTGTGTTCCAAAAAAAATCAAAATAGGACAAGCTGACCTTGATAAATGGTCAACGTAGTGCACAGTAATTTTTTATCTGACGTAGTACGCAATAATTTTATCTGACGTAGTACGCAATAGTTTTTATCTGACGTAAAACGCAATAATTTTATCTGACTAATACGCATACAATTTTCTATCATCCATAACAATACCAAGTTCTATACCATGTTTTATATAGTTAAAGACTATTTTAGGTTCAAAGGGAAAAATTCCAAGTTCAACACAATGTTAGTCTACTTTAGATTCGTACAGAAAATAACAACTTAAACATAATTGTGATCGTCTGCTTTAGATTCATACAGAAAAAGTCGAAGTTCTACCCAGTGATATTCTAATTTAAATTCATTATAATACCCAGACACAGTCACCAAAAGACAGACATTATTTTGTACGTTTTTAGGGGGGCTTTAGAATCAAATTTCTGGCGACGTTTTTACTGAGCTGTCACTGGCAGACAGGGTCCTTGATTACATTGGTAACAAGGGTAGGGAGGGGGAGGGTAGATGGGCATCATTGATTTCTCCAAACCAAAATTCAGGGAGAGAACCTCTCGTCAAAGGGAGAGAAGTACTTAGCCCGTCTAGAGGTGATTGGAGGGTTACGTTTGCTATCCAAGCTTTGTCAAGGATTTATTGTTAATCAATTGTCGTGTAATCTATGTTTGTTTTAGGTTTTAAAAGTGTAGCATTTTATTCGGTTAGGATAAACACTTTTGTCTTTAATTGCGAAACTATTTTTACTTTGCAAACTCTTTGAGATATAATGGTATTTTTAAAAAATTATTCATCAAAGAGATAAATTAAAATTCCTAATACAGCTGTTTGAAAGGAAAGAATATTTTTTTTGAGATGTCTCATTTTATTTTACATATCATCCATGCTGCTTAAATTTTATTTTCCTTAAATCTCAAGTTTATTTCAGCTCTAGTTATAAGCTCTTACTCCTCCCCCCCCCCAACCCCAACCCACCACTAAAAAAATAGAAAATGCCCTTCAATTTCTTGTTTATTTCGTTTTTTAACCCCTCTTCCAAACATAGAAACACCGAATCGTCGTTCAATTGAATATTTAAATTTTCAAGTTTAAAAAATATATTGAAATTAGACGGTATGTATTATGACTAAGTACATCATTTTCAATGAATGAAAGTACATGTCAGAAAGAAGAATTACTATTGTTAATATATATCAGTCCTCACAAGCCGATGATGAAAACTGTAATACTAAAGCCAATATGGCAAGGTAAACTGACGCTGTAATTTCATGTCTGAGGCACACACACACAAAAAGAGAAAAAAATTCTGAAAGCCATCTTGTAATATAATCTCAGTGTAATGTTTAAATATGTTCTGCTTAGTCTTATGGCCTGTTAGCATATCAAACTTAACCCGACCAAATCTGTTTTAATGCACACGTTTTAATCTAAATTAAGATACTATTTTTTTTTTGCTTTTATTTACATTTTCTTTAAAATGTGAGTAATCTGGCTACTATCCAAATTATCTTTCTTTATGCCAGACCTAAAAAATAAATAAAAAAAAACAAACAAAACCAAAACAAAAATTAACCAAACTGGTTACAGTAGATAGACCAGTTAATCATTGATGTAAATGTTCATGAACAAGTTTTTATATATCTGCGCGTGAACATCGTTTTGACATCTCTAGTACATGAACTAGTAATTTGAACATGCCATTATAATTATGTACGTGTCCCCAGGGTCATGTAGGCAACAGTTAAAAATTGATGTTAAGAGCAAAGTATAGATGAAAAACATTACGGGTATTGATAAAAATGTTGGAATCTTAGAAAAGATGTAGAAAAGTAAAACAAAAAATATGTGTCCGTAAACTAAACTTTGTTTTCGGTACACAAAATAAAGTTGTCATTAAATTGATAATTGTTCTCTGTAAACTAAATATAGTTGTTAGTAAACATTTTGTTAAGAGCATGCGAATTTTAGTAAAGTTAATTTTTTTTACCATATAAATTTGCCAGTGTAGATATTAGTAAATTACGCTCATGCAAACATAAGTAGCTTAAACTAAACTCAAGTAGAGGTTAATAAAATAAATCTTTGTTGATGTTTCTGTAAAATAAACCCATATGGATCTTCTAAGTTAAATTTCCTACGCGAAATTATTTTAAAAAAAATCTATATTATTATATTTAAAGGAAAGAAAAATGAAACCTACGTAGGTATGAAAATAATAGTACATATACACACACACACGCACACACATATATATATATATATATATATATATATATATATATATATATATATATATATATATATCTTACAGCTGCCAATGTGTAAGTAGTGGCTACACATTTAACAGCCGAAGCTGCGCAGTTTCCGATAAATCTAAGGCAACCCTCTACTCAGTAAACACACTTGAGAACTCTTACCTTTCTGTAGGTAAAAACAACGTAGACCTTTGCTAGCATTGTCGTCTGCTCAGTGCCTGCTAGTCACCATCTTGATATTCCATGAATATCGTCTGCGGGTCGGCAGGAAGGCGCCGTCAGTTCACACTCGCCCTCACACGCGCGCTGGTTCTTCCAACTATTGATCCACTGCTCACCAGAAATACAACTGTCTACACACTGTTCGCTTGTGGGGATATAACGGTCATACTAGGGGTGTGGGGGTGTGAGGGGTGTTCATGAACAAGTCTAATATAACGATAGTTCATATCACAAGTTGTTTTTATTTACATTTAACACATACACATCGCGTATTCTAAAAATAAACACATCGCCTGAAAGGTAAAATTGGAAGGTAAATACCGCAGCGAAAATCTATTTTTAGCAACTCACTTTAAGTGTAGCAGAAATTGCCGGCTATAATTTGTGTAATTCTCTGAGGTAATCCTTGCCTTGGTGCTAGACAAGGGTGCTGTTTTGAAGCAGCACACGAAATTTAGGAATGCAAACCAGATAGGAATACGCACGCGCGATGACGTAGGGGAGTTGTAGTCATGGCAACGCGAAGACAGGGTAAGGTGGTATCGAGCAGACGAAATGGAGGTGAGGCGTGGGGGAGGAGGGGGCATTGCACTTGAATTGGGGGATTTGGGAGGATGTTAGAGCCTCTTATGTTGAGAGGCGGGGGAGAGGCTGGGGGAGAGGTGGAAGGGGTCATTGATTGGAAACTGAGTAACCCTGTACATTTTCGTGGGAATAGGACCCAGTACATCTTACTGTGGGTAGGACCCAGTACATCTTACTGTGGGTAGGACCTAGTACATCTTACTGTGGGTAGGACCCAGTACATCTTACTGTGGGTAGGACCTAGTACATCTTACTGTGGGTAGGACCTAGTACATCTTACTGTGGGTAGGACCCAGTACATCTTACTGTGGGTAGGACCCAGTACATCTTACTGTGGGTAGGACCCAGTACATCTTACTGTGGGTAGGACCCAGTACATCTTACTGTGGGTAGGACCTAGTACATCTTACTGTGGGTAGGACCCAGTACATCTTACTGTGGGTAGGACCTAGTACATCTTACTGTGGGTAGGACCTAGTACATCTTACTGTGGGTAGGACCCAGTCCATCTTACTGTGGGTAGGACCCAGTACATCTTACTGTGGGTAGGACCTAGTACATCTTACTGTGGGTAGGACCTAGTACATCTTACTGTGGGTAGGACCCAGTACATCTTACTGTGGGTAGGACCCAGTACATCTTACTGTGGGTAGGACCCAGTACATCTTACTGTGGGTAGGACCTAGTACATCTTACTGTGGGTAGGACCTAGTACATCTTACTGTGGGTAGGACCCAGTACATCTTACTGTGGGTAGGACCCAGTACATCTTACTGTGGGTAGGACCTAGTACATCTTACTGTGGGTAGGACCCAGTACATCTTACTGTGGGTAGGACCCAGTACATCTTACTGTGGGTAGGACCCAGTACATCTTACTGTGGGTAGGACCTAGTACATCTTACTGTGGGTAGGACCTAGTACATCTTACTGTGGGTAGGACCCAGTACATCTTACTGTGGGTAGGACCCAGTACATCTTACTGTGGGTAGGACCTAGTACATCTTACTGTGGGTAGGACCCAGTACATCTTACTGTGGGTAGGACCCAGTTCATCTTACTTTGGGTAGGACCACTGTTCTTTGTAGTGATGGTAGAATCCCCATTCTTCTTAGTGAGGGTGGGACCCCGGTAATTTATAGTGAGAGTAAGACCCCCATTCTTCTTTGTGAAATAGGGACCCCCGTTTTTCTCAGTGATGATAGGACCCCCCGCCCCCCCCCCCCCCCGTTTTTCTTAGTGGTGAATGGATCCCCCCATTCTTCATAGTGAGGGTATGACCCCGGTTCTTCATAGTGAGGGTATGACTACCGTTTTTATTATTGAAAATAGATATTCTAATGCGTTTTATTGAAAGTATGACCACATATCTTCTTAGTAATTTTAGGACATACATTTTTTAAGGGTATGACTCAAGTAGAAAGAGGACATTTTAATGAGGGTAGGAACCCCAGTACATTTGAATGAAGGTAGGACTACAATACACCTACCGAGGGAAGAACAAGAGCATTTCTTAATGCAGTTAGGGCCCCTTGTATTTTTTTTATTGACGGTAGTACCCAATTCTAACCCTAACCTCAACCCCATCCTCCACACCTATTGTTACTTCAACCCCCCCCCCTCCACCCCATCATCAAAGCTCCAGCACTGCATTGAAAGTTTATTCTCCTTAGCCACCTTCTCTCAGGAATGTGACGTTTTTCGCCCACCATCTCACAATACGCACACACAAATACTCACACATACATAAACACACACACACAGATAACGTTCACATGAAAGCTTGACAACCTCTCCCTCCCACCCTCCCTCCCTCCCCATCTCATGTAAACAAAACCTGACAGCGATAATCCTCCTACCCTGAATAATTCTATACAGAAAAAAAAAATTAAAAAAATTTATGCAGAACTCTTGATATTATTTTTAAAATATAGATTCAACAAAAAATGCATCAATGGTAATTACCAATTAAAATGTCTGTCAATACGAAAATGTATATCTAAATTTTTTTTTTGCTATTGTTTCATGAATGTTTGTTATTGATCCAACTTTTTAAATTACTCGAACAAACAAACCCATTCATCTGCAGCGGAATTTTAAAAATTATGTCGTCAGGAGGAGTGATGTCCCATGAGACGCGGCTCCATAAAATTAACGGTAATTTCAAAAACAGGAACGACACGATACAATTAATGTACACGGATATTGATTCGGTGCTAGGCAAAAGTAAATGATAATGATTAACAAATATTCCTTAATGGAAAACATGGCCGGTTATGACAGGAAATGGTAGATGATTGGCATACACGTATTTACGTTGATGTAAAATATGGCATTTTATGACATGGGAATGCAGATAGTGATCATTAACAAAATATTCTCTACGCGAATATTCCTTGTTTATATTTTGTCAGCACAAGGTACATAATATATACATTGATGTGATATCCTATGATAGTTTATGTCAGGAAAATGTAGATGATGAGTAAACACATAATACATTCCGTGATGACAATGTCTGAACGAGGGATGATCCTATCCCCGAGGCCTTTAAAGCACGTGTTAAACACATGAGTTCCAGTAAGAATCATGTACACTTCTAGAGACTGTAGACAGCTTGAGTCTAGTAGAAGACAAGGCACCATGACGGTCGATGGTGCCTTCAGAGATTTGAAGCTCAGTAATAACATGGAGGCTTTCGTAAAGCAGACAGATCATCCGTCAGCTCATGAAATTTTTAGTCCAATTCATCAGCTGACCTTTCATAACGGTCGATTGGTGAATTTGATTGTCAGCTGGTGAATTTGATGGTCAGTTTAGTTCACCTCGACCTTCCCACAGAAAGTTAGTCACGTGATTTCAGAGCTGGAGCTGATTGGTTACTTGCCTTACTCTCGCGAGATCTCGATACTTTAAATCTCATCAACGAACACCTACTCGTCAACTTGTCCTAATCTTACCTTTATCTGTGTAGCTTCAAATATTATCTTTATCTGTGTAGCTTCATATATTACCTTTATCTGTATAGGTTAACATCTTTCATTTATCCTTATGCATGTGTCCAAATGTTACAATTATCGAAATGTTACGTTCCAATATTACCCTAAAATCATGTTAAATTCCCTGCACGATCGACCCTGTTATGTAACCTAGCGTCGGTCAACCGAAACGGGAGTCACATGGTCGTGGTTGTACATCATCTCTTTCATTTGATCATTGACACGCTTCAGCAAGCTGTTGCCAGCAAAACGTAGTCACAATACGGTTACATCAAACATGGTACCTGTCATTACAACTTTCATTTTGTAGCTCCCCTTTGGGTGTTTCTAAACCTTCGCCCCCCCCCCCCCCCCTTGCTTTCATAATACCTTTCATCCGACGCTTATGTATTACGTCCTACACATGTTACATATCTGTTACAATATAAATTGTATCTGTATGTGTCTGTGTGTGTTTAAGAATATCTGTATGTCTGAAAGCGAACGGGTGGGGCATCAAGTGAAATATACTCGTATAATGGCACTCCATTATTAAATAAACACTAAATTTTAACGTATACATGACGAGGTGGCCGAGTGGTTAAGGCGATGGACTGCTAATCCATTGGGGTCTCCCCGCGTGGGTTCGAATCCCATCCTCGTCGCACCTATTTTTAGTCTTTCTTCTTCTTCTTCGTTCTTAATTATTAGTGTTGAAGGTGATCGAGATTTATCTGCCAGTGGGTTTGAACTCGAGACTTTGTTCGAATTTATCAACCAATAGCTTTTTGCCGACTCGACCACGCCTCCAACACAATTAAGCGTTACGTGTCAATTGGTTATGCGCCATTGAGGCCATTGACTCCGATTTTAGCCTGCTTTTCTTTTTGGATTTGCTTCCATAGCCTTTGTCCAACCAAGAACACTCTACAAGGCAGCAGTTGTTTATTTTTGGAGTTGTCTCTCCTAGAAGAGTGGCTGTCCCCAGCTAACGAGCCTCATCTGCCCGAAGGTTCGAACTCGAGACTTTTCGGTTTAGCAACCATGAGCTTTACCGACTCGACCACGCCGTTTTTAGTCAAAACCTTAAATTTTTCGCACCACAAAGGATAGTGTATGACTATTTAAAAGCTGGTCCTCTGTCTACGTTTGTTTTTTCTACCTACATTCTAAGAAAGCTCTTTTTAATGACTGAATGCATTATTTTCTTGGCAACGAAAAAACGAAACAATGTGAGGGTTAGAGGAGGTTCAGAAATGCTAGTGTGTGTGGGGGTGTTTGTGGGTGTGGGGAGGGGGTGGTGGATGAAATACATATTGTGTGTGTGCCCGTCTATATATGCATGTGCTGTTGAATGTGCTTGTGCATGTGTATGAGTTTTTGTAAGTGTGTGTTTGTAATTATTTGTGAGTGTTTGGTTGTGAGGGTGTGTGCTATTAAGTGCGTGTTTGTGGATTTCAATGTTTGTGTGAATGAGTTCGTGTTAAATATATCTATTTAATGCAGTGTATATGTTTGATATTAAAACACACACCAATCTAATGCAGTGAATACAAGAACGGTTTGATAGTACACAACACTACACACATCAGCCGTGTGAATGACACCAACAACACAAACTTGGCTAATAGAAAACAAAACTCATAACATCAACAGTTTAATCAATTGTTTAACAATTTTTAAAAGTTCAGTTTATAAAAGTAAACTATATGTTATATTATAACCTGTCTGTAAATAATAATTTACAAATGCATAGTTAAAAACACATTCTTTACTAGCAAGCAAGTGTGAAATAAACTTAGAATTTTAGCACATTCTGCTGCATGCTTCAAGTGATTTTCATATGATGATTTTCTTAAGATGAGCTCATCTTTTTGTCGT